TATGGGAATCGATTTTGGGTTTTGGTTAAAACTTAAATCTCTTAACTCTCTTTCCAGACTCCTGCACTTAAATTGAACTGATAGTGGGGTTTCTTTAGCACAGGAAGTCAGGAAGTTGCCTTGTCGGGTTCCCACAGTCAAGTTGGCTGTCCCTTTGTGAGGGCCACTGCCCTGGGCTCGTTCTGACGCTATCCCTGGCAGGTCCCAGAGGCAATGGTATACAAATGCTATATTGGTAACTGTGAAATTATAGGAAAAGGTGAAGCCTACATATCAAGTGCTATAGAATTCTGTTTATTTAAGGCCTTCCTAGAGGAGGAGTTTTGGCTGGGTCTAGAGGGGAAGCAGTTCCTTCCCACTTGATTGTGTTGTTGGCTGAATAATATAGAATGAGGCTGAAGTTGTGTGAGAAGCTAAGGTGGCCTCTATTGTGAAGGAGGTGGGAGAGCCACTTCTTTTCCCCATCTGGGAAACCTTATACCTCATCTTGAATTTCCTGACTTGGCAGGGGGGAAGGTATTGAATGTCACTGAAACTATAGTGATCAGTGCCCATTTTTCCCTTTAAAAACCCTTTAGCTTTGGTTTTAATGTCCTTGGTCTTTAATGGCCCCACTGTAGCCTATCACTTATGTGGAAAACGTGGGCATTGATCTGCATAGCTGAGAACTGGAAACAGTGGCTGGGGCCTGTGTTAGACCATGCTGTTATAGGATTTTGGAGGATTTGTGGAGGCAAGAGCCTTCATTGTGGGATTTTGGGAGAGCTGATCAGAAACTATCTGGAGAAGTCTAAGGCAAGATTGTGAGAAATAGAGGCAGCAAGTGAGAGGGGCGATAGTGCAGGTGGGATATGCTCATGCCCCCAGCTGTTTCTCCTTGCCCAGGAGGAAGAAGGCACATCTAACCTTGAATTGGGAAGGAGCTGGCTAGACTCTAAATCTTTCTTCTTAAATCGGGCCTTTATCTTCCTTCTAGCAGCCCATGGCTGTCCAAGGGAGTTGCCTAGAATAAGTCTAATGTCCAGGGTTGATCATCGTGCTCTGAACTACGGAGGGCCAGGCCACCCCGGGCTCCTTAGGTGGGCTTTCTCTCCATCACCAGCCTCTCTGAGTACCAGTGCTCAATGCTGTCTGAATCCCAGTGCTATCTGGGACCTTGGATATCAATGTGTCTCTAGGCTATAGAAGTTTGTGTGTAGACCAGTACATATCAACAGGGCCTTTATGCCCAGTCTTGAGCTCAGTACCATGGAGGTTACAAAAGTTCAAAAGCTACCATTTACTGTCACTGTGTGCAAGGAACTTTATAAACACTATCTCATTTATTTCTCTAACAATCTGAAGAAGTAGCTATTATTAGATCATTATTATTTTTAAATTAAATTGATATTTTAAAATTATTTCAATTGAAATATAATTAAAATATAACATGGCATAAGTTTAAGGTGTGCAATGTGTTGACTTAATACATTTATACATTGCGATATAGATCATTATTCTTATTTTACAGAAAAGAAATGTATACATGTATAATTACCTGAAGTCAGGTAACTAGTAAGTGGTGGAGCCAAGATTTGAATACAATTTAACTTCAAAGCCTTTGCTCTTGATCACTACACTAACCTGGGGTCCAAGGTGAAACTGACCACCTAGTTCATTCAATCTTCGTAACAACCTCTAGAGGCTAATTATGTTATCCCCACTTTATTGATGTGAAAAATGAGGCTCAAGGAGGTAAAGCGACTTGTCTACAATGACCCAGCTAAGTGAGTGACAAAGCCAAGACTTGAGCTCAGGTGGGCACTAACTTCTAACTGCTAGGCCTCAGCTGCCCTAGAGGAGCTCCTCTTGCTGTCTCCAGGCCATGGAGGACTCCATGGGTGGGAGAAGAATCCCATCATCCTCTTGAACCAGTCTACCCCTATTATTCCAAGGGGAACTAGAGAGGCTAGAGCTGCCTGGGCCTCTGACATCCCTGGCTGGGAGTGGGGATGTAAGGTCTGCATGTGTGATGACTTAGCATCTTGGACATCAGATCTTGGTTTGCTAAGCTCAAGGAGTCACTTAGTATCTTCTAGATGTCCATGGGGCTAGAAAGGAGGTTCTGTCAGCCCTGCCTTGAGGAAAAGCAGTGAGCCCTGGGCTATAGCCCCAGCTGGCACTGCCTTTTTGACCCTTCAGGCCCAAGCCTGCAGTTGATGCCCTTCTTCACCTTCCCCTCCCAGAGTCCTGCAATCATTACAGTCCTAGTGGAACTGCCTACTTTGAGCCTGTATTCAGCCTACAGACCAAACTGGGGCCTGATAGCTCTGAAATCGCCACCCTGAGCCCCTCCCCAGGCCAGGGAAAGACCTCAAAACATACTCTTTTCAGTCTGACTTTTTCTGATATATTTGTTTTCCCAAGTTAGACATAATAGATAGGTGCTGCTCTGGGTTTTGAAAAGTTTGGGAATCTCCTCTGATGTGGTCCCCTTGGTGTGGGTGTGGGGGAATTTAAACACTTTGGGCATTATTCACTCCCTATTCTCCATTTTTCCAGAAGCTTGTGCCAAAAGGCAGGAGGATAATGACTTTGTTACTACCCCAAATTGGAGGCCAGAGGCTTGGGCATGCTCATTTAAGGTTCTTTTTTGTTTAAATTGAAATATTTTTCCTTAAAATAGATATTAAAATAAACAGATACTTTTGAAATTGAAATAAAACAAGAATGTAGGAAGTGAACACTTCTCTCCACTACTGCTTCAATCCCACCCCACTCTCCTCACAAGATCATCACTGGTTACCATTTGGTGCAGATCTTTTAGGTCTTTATTCTTGTGCATGTTTTCTGTTTCTTAAATAAAAATCGAAGCACTCTATAAATAATATTTCAGCACTTGCTTCTTCCCCATGATATAGCATGAATTTCTTTTACAATACGAATGTTTGTACATTTTATGTATAATTTTAAATTTAAAATTAAACAACAAAAAATGATGAAGATTTTCTGTGTGTCATTACATATTTTTCTACAACATCATGTTTAATGACTCCATGGAATTGTGTGAACAGACCATAATGCATCTAACTAATTCCCTATTCATGTTGTTTTCAATGTCTTATAGACAAAGCTGTCACAAATGTCTTTGTCCATATACCAGTGTGTACTTGTGTGGCTGTTTCTGTGGCTCGAATCCTTGGAGGGGAATGGCTGGGTCAAATGGTGTCAAAGGTGCCTTACAGAGGGCCACATTGACTTCCAGATGACTAAGGGGACTCTACTCAACTTCTTCATTCTTCCTCATGCTCAGTTTTCTCCTGTGTAAACTGAGGTGATGGTATTGTACCTACCTTGGGGATAGCATGATGATTATTATAAGAGAAGAAATGCAAAGTGATTGGTGCCTGGCAAATGTGTCAGTACTCACTCAATCACAACCATTATTCAGTACTGTTGGGGCTTTGAGTTCTTTTGGGTCCTTTCTTGTTTCTTTTTGTTTAAATTTTATTTTAATTGTTGTTCAAGTACAATTTTTTATCTTTTATTCACATCCCAGCCCACCCACCCAGCCCTCCCCACCTTCCTCCCATTTCCACCCGCCCCTAGTTTTTGTCCATGTGTCCTTTATATTTGTTCCTGTAAACCCTTCCCCTTTTCCCCTGAAATTCCCTCCCCTCTCCCCTCTGGACACTGTCAGCCTGTTCTCTATTTCAGTGTCTTTGGTTATATTTTGCTTGTTTCTTTGTTTTGTTGGTTAGGTTCCTGTTAAAGGTGAGATCATATGGTATTTGTCTTTCACAGCCTGGCTAATTTCACTTAGCATAATGCTTTCCAGTTCCATCCATGCTGTTGCAAAGGGTAGGAGCTCCTTCTTTCTTTCTGCTGCATAGAATTCCATTGTATAAATGTACCATAGTTTTTTGATCCATTCATTTACTGATGGGCACCTAGGTTGCTTCCAACACTTGGCTGTTGTAAATTGCCCTTCTTGTTTCTTTGATGAGGATAATGCTTAAAGTTTCCTAAGGTTCACAACCACTAATGGCAGTGGAACAAGTACAACAGAGAACAAAGCCTGGAAGCAGAGTGGCCTTGTTTTCACCCTGATAGAAGCTCTCACTCCAGTTTTTCCTCCATCATGCAGTTAATGCTGGCAGAAACAAAGGAAGCCAGGGGTTCTAGTCTCTATCCTACACTCCAGGAGATGGTGTAGCTTCAAGTGAGCACAAGGTAGAGTCCAAGAAGAGGTGGCCTCAGAAGAAAGGTCCAGCTAAATGTAAAGTTCCCTTTCTTGGACACTGGACAACCCTCAGTTCAGGCCCTTCCTTACTGGGATAGAGGTCTTCAAGGCTCTTGGAAGAGAGAAATAGCTACTCCCAACTCTTAGACTCCAGCAAGGCCTGTGGACCCAAGACCTTGAGCTCTGATGGTGGCTGGTTAGTGGGAAAGGCAGAGCTAATGAGGGCTTCAAACTGAAGCTTTAGGTCAGCAGGGTCAAAGACACTGAGCATCTTTAAGAAAGGGACAGATGGTCCTGAAAAGACAATGGAGAACATTTTGCTGAGTCCAGCTTTGAAGAAGACTTGTCTGTCCCCCCAACCCTCTTTCCATAAGAATATGACTGGAGACAGTAATTTCATCTTACTTATGTTTATTGCTGTCAACCTGTCTCCCTCCATCCCCATCATATTTACACTAAACCCTTCCCCCAAAGCTAGCTTTACCAAAGTTCCTGGTAGTAGGTCCAGTAGCGTGTCCATTAAGCCAATAGTCCTAGATGTAGTAGGTTCTGTTTGTCCCTGAGCCAGTTGGGCCCTGGGGAAATGTTACTCTGGAATTGAGGGCACAGATTTGGTGCTGGCATCAAGGGAGGCCCCCATCAATAGATGCTATCCGCCCTGGCTGGCATAGCTCGGTGGATTGAGCACAGGCCTGTGAACCAAAGGGTTGTGGTTCGATTCTTAGTCAGGGCACATGCCTGGGTTGCAGGCCAGGTCCCCAGCAAGAGGCATGAGGGAGGCAACCACACATTGATATTTGTCTCCCTCTCTCTCCTTCCCTTCCCCTCTCTCTAAAAATAAACTGTTGGAAAAAAAAGAAAAGATGAGCTAATTAAAAAATGTTTGTTTAAAAAAATAGATGCTATCCTTCCCCTTCTATAGCTCGGGGTACACCAAAACCTTTAGCAAAGCAGAGTTCAGGTAATGGATTCCCTAATGTCTAGTTTGTACTTTCCTTTTTGGTAAGGACCCACACAAGAGGCCAATTTTGGACCCAAATCTGCATCTGGCTTCTGTGGAACCATTCTATTCTTGGAAGCCAGGTCTGACCATCTGCCATCAGCCTTGAGGGAAGTGTCATTTGAGGGGGTCAGGAGTAGAAAGAGATGGTGCACATTATATGAGGTATGGGCATTGTCTTAAGCTGGAGGAAGTTGCAGCTTAGCCTGAGTTATGTACAAAGGTATAGAACTGATGAGCAGGTGGAGGCATTTCATTTGGGAGCCCAATGCCCCTCAAGCCCCTTCAATAAACCCCACTGGTATCCTGGGCCACAGGTAACAGGAGAGCAGACATTTAATGTCACAGAATGTTAGAGTTGGTAAGGCCCTCAGCATCTATCCATTCTAATCTTGGCCAGGTATAGACCCAAATTGGTGAAGGCACTTGATTCACCTCACCTAGTGATTCAGTGGCCAAATCTTCCAGAAAGTTAAGGAGAAGGAAAGTAGGAAAGGTGCATGTGGCTTTCTTCAAACCTTATTGAGGACAATCTGGATTTACCCGTGATCAACTAGAATATTTTTAAATGGCCAGCTTCCTTAGGGTCCTGAGACTGACCTGAAACACTTTACCTCCTTTTCAGGAGCAGTGCTACAGGGGAAAGTACGGTGAGGATGAGGATGTTTTGGAGGCCTCAGTGGTGAGGGAAATGAGTGGGGTGACCTCTCAGTGCCCCACTTGCTGTGGCCATGGCCAGAGCGGGCTCTACTGTCAGTAGCTGGTGGAGAGAGGGGGCTGGGCAGGTGTAATGTGCCTTCAGCGGCTCCTTATCCACTTCAGCCAAGCCTGCAGGGCTCTGGCCAGCTGCTATGGCCCTATGCGCCATGGGGGGAGCAAAGGGGAGCAGAGCCAGGCTAGGCACCAGTCCTCTGCCAGTCCTCCAGCCCAGGCCACCTCAGGAAGCTGGGGCCCCTCTCTGCTGCCTGTGCTGCTTGGGCCCAGCCTTGGCCCACCACCACCTCCACTCAAGGTGCCCCGGCCAGAGAGAGGCTCTGCAGCTGCTCCTCAGCACCCGCCAGCTCCGCCTCGTCACGCCCACTCTCTGAGCCCTCGAAGCAGCCTGAGTCGCGTGGGATGTCCCACTTGGGATCTGACACGGTGTGCGCCACTGGTTCCTGGCTGCTGTCGGTGCCTTCTTCTGCCTCCTCGCTGCCAGCTGCCAGGGCAAGAGTGAGAGATGGAATATGGGGTTTTGGGCCTTAGAAGGAAGGGGTTCAGAAGCCCCAGGGAGCTCTGTGTGGGAACAGGGACCCTAGGGGTAGGGACACTATAAGCATTCTCTCCCTCAGGGCACCTGCTACCACCTCTGCCCTCCTCATGGTTTTTCCAGGCCCAGGACCTCAGACTTCTTCAACACTAAGCCAGGAGCCAGGAAATCTGCACCTGAATCCTGGCTCTGTCATTGCCCAGCTTTTAGGCCTCAAGGAATTGCTTTACCTTCTCTGGCCTTAAATCTACCCTTGGATCCCAAAGGGAGTGGGACCCAATCATCCTTAAAACCCCTTCTCCCCACAAACTTTGCCTGAGACTGGAATTAAGGTGTGGAAAGTGCCTTCTCACTGCACAGGGCCCTAGGTAGAAGCTTCCCCTCTGTGGATCACCAGCAGGCACCCCCACCCAGCTCCTAAACCCACTCACTGTCATAATCCAGCAGCAGCTCTGCAGCAGTGAGCAGTTTGGCCCGGTGCTGTGGGTCTGTGATGTTCAGCTCATTGAGGTGTGTTTCCCGCAGCTCCTTGAAGTCTTCCAGTGTCTGATAGCCATTGAGCAGCAGGGTGGACGTGTGCTCCTGTGGGCAGAAGCAGGTCACCAGTTAGGCCATTTACAAGCCACACCCCCCTACCCAATTTTCGCCTCCCAACATAGCTGGCAAGCCCTGGCCACAATCCCTGGGGCAAGGGCACATCCTTGATCCTAGATGCTAATTCAGGCCTCAGATCAAACCTGCAGGCCAATGCGCTCCAGCAGCTCATGCAGAGTCTTGGGCTTGGGCCTCTTGCCCTTGCTCTGTCGGCGGCTGGGGCGGGCAGGCCCCACAGCCTCCTCAGGCAGCACATCCACATAGATGAACTTGAAAGAGCCCAGCCTGCCATTGAGCAGGCCCAACCATGTGCCCACAGGTGGCTTTTCAATGATCTGGATCACATCACCTTTCTGTGGGAGGAGAGGAAAGCAGAGTGGATTAGGAGATGAAGGGTGGTCCCGTGTCCTCTGGTGACACTGTCCTACCCTGGCTCAGTCCAGCCCCCTTTATGTGTGCAGCCTGCTAGTCTCAAGTGGGTCCTGGATGCCAATCTTACCTGTAGTTTCAGTGAGTCGTGATCATAAGGGCTGGGAGTAAAGTCGGTGTGGACTCGGGCTCTGCCACAGAAGGGTCCTGTGTACTGGGGGGCAGGTGGTTCTTCCCCAAAGCTGCCAGAGCCTGGGCTGGGGCTGCAGAGCTCACTGCCTGCAGGATATGGGGCAAGGAGGAGAGTCACCTTTGTCCCAGGACAATTGGGGCTGTGCCCATTCAGCAGGTATCTTGTAGGGGGTCTATGTGGATGTCCCAGGGCTACATGCTAGGGAAGAAAGCTGAGTACTGGCCAGTCTGACAAAACAGGCAAATTGGAAGGGCCTCTAAAGACCAACTGGGCCAACACCCCAACAAACAGATGAGGAATACTGAGGCCAGATGGGCCAAGGGACCTGCCTAAGGCCTCTCATCTTATAATTGGCAGCACTGGGTCTGTTACACTCCAAATCTTCTGATTCCAACTCCAGTGCTCCGTCCACCCAGGAAGCCATACCCTGCATTAATATTTTCCTTTTTCCTTTTTTACTTAATAAGACTCAGTGTCTAGTTATCTGGAAATTCAGATGGGCTCTTTTTCTCAGGGAAGGGTAGTATGAAGTTTATTTTAAATGGTTTTCAGTGGGGGTAGGGAGGGGGCATCAGGGAGTTCTGGGAAACCAGAGAAAGATCAGGGAACTTGGAACTAGCTTGAGGGGTGGGAAAGACAGTGTCTCTGAAGGTTCGCAGCTCCTCATTTAGGCAGGGCTGCCAGGACCTCCTGCCTAACCCCATGTATGTCCAAAAGATGTCAAGAGGTGCCCTAAGACCAATAATCTAAAGTCTGGGGTCCAAGAGGCTGAGCCTTCACAGCTGGAGACTCTATACCCACACCCTAGCCCATATGTCAGAGGTCTAGACAGATATAGCCTCTAGCTGTCCTTGGAAAGCTGGGGCTGGGCTGGTCCAAGAGGGCAAGGGGGCCCTTCCTCTGCCCTTGAGCCCTCCAGGGCCTGAGAAGAGCTAGTTGTAGCTCCTTTATTGCATAACTGAGTTCAAGATTGGGTCACCTTGGCCAAGTAATTAACCTCCCTGAGCCTCAGTTTTCACATCAATAAGGTGGGGATAATAATTGTACCAGCCCCTTGAAATTATTGTGAAGATTTAACATGAAGAAGGTTGGGAAAGTTCCCAGCAGCAAATCCTAAACATTCATTTTTCTTAGCCACTCCCAGACAATCACCTTCATGGCCCTAACCCGGTCCTTTTCTCCAGACTTAGTGGGTATCCCCCTATCTACCCTACTCACCTGTGGATGCTTGGCGGCTGAGTCCTGGGAGCTCACGCTCCTCTTGCTCAGAAAAGAGCAGTGCCATCTTTTCAGGGCCAGGGCTGTCCAGGCTGCAGTCTGGAGATGTTGGGGAGGCTGAGCCCTCCTCCAGAGTGTCTCCCTGAAGGGGAGGGGAAACAGGGAGACTGGAATCCCAGAGCAGCCTTGGTTAGGGTGCACATGGGGCAGCCCAGGCGCAGAGGAAATAGGCCTGGGCTTGACAGAGAACTAGCCCTTGACTGGAACCCCAGCTCTGCCGCTTACAGACGGCATTGCACTCTCAGAGCCCTACTTTTCTCTTTCGCTAGGTGGAAATGACAAGTCCTTGCCTTGCCCACCTCACAGAATGAGGTGTAACTGGGGTGCCACATGAATGTGCTTTGTCAGCTTAAAGAGCTAGCTGATGTACATGCAGAGAAAGTTGGTACATACAGATACTAGAACTTCGATCTGAGCTGTCGCTGGGACAGTCAAGCAGACAGTGGTGCCAAAGAGTTACTAATTTTGACTATGCTCCTATGTGCCAAGCACATCTGTCATTTCATTCAGTCCTCATTTGAGGATAAGTGCTTGATTGTCCCAAGTTTTTAGATGAGAAGTAATGGAAGAACGTTCTTAAGGCCATGCAAAAGGTCCCATTCAAATTCACCTGACTCCAGAGTACTCCTGCTTCACTATACCTCAGTGCAGAGGTAACTCTTCCACAACTGGCTCACTAGGAGTAAAAGCTCTCATGAGTAGAGGTCACCAATTCCTGTGCTGTAAATACTCCCCACCATGGCCAGTGTTATGCTACCACTATGACATTGCTTATTGAGCAGCACATCTTCATAGGCTATTTCTTCCACATAGAAACTATAGATGCAAATAACCTCAGAGGCATAGAGAATAATGAAAATCAGTCCAAGAATTAGGAAGTGATGAATTTTGAGGATTGACTGTGTTCCCTTTATTTTTAATATAATTTATTTAATTCTAAGTTGATATAATATAATTTTCAATAATATTATGTGTCATACCCAATTCACAAAATTCCTAAAAATTGGGCCAACTGCTGTCCTGAGCTGGCAGAAGCCAGCACTAGCTGACTGCAGCATACCACTGCCTTGGAGCCTCCTATAAGAACCAGGAGCACACTAGACTTAATGTGTGACTTCAGCTGCTTAGCTATGCCTGCCCTACAACTCTCTGTCATGCACTCCCTCCTAGGGCCAAAACCAACCTTCTCTAACTTTTCCTCAGAGGAGTTCCTCTTTTAATCAAACCTTTCCAATCCTAGGGGCTAGTTCCCAACAAAACTTGGAGGTGGATGAATTTGCCTCAAGTGATCTCATCTCCTTTGCAGCTGCCCACTCTCCTCAGGCTTGTCTTTTCACAAAGCTTCTGTTACTCCAACTTTCATCCCTCTTTAGACCCTCACTCCTAATCCATCTGGACCACAGTGTCTTGTTGCCATGTCCATGGCTGAGTGAGCTCCCCTCCCATGTGACCTTCCTTCACATATTTAATTGAGACTTCAGGCATGATATATAAACAGTGGCTCTCAAGGAAGCCATGCTCACACCTTATCAGAGTGGTACCTCTCTTCCCTGTCACCACCACTCCCCTGGATCCCAGGCCTCACCATCTCCTCTGACAGGGCCTTAACCATCATCTTGCCCATCTTCCTGTTCATGGTTCGGGAAATCACAGCCTTCCACTTCTTCCCCAGCTTTTTGCTACTTTTTCCAGCATCCTCTTGGGTAGGGACACTTGAGTCATCTTCTGGAATCTGTGACAACAAACAAAGAGGTCCAGGGACCCTGGTGACTCTCCCTGAGTCCAGGACTTGGGAATAGAAGGAGTCCTTTGGGCTCCAGTAGAGGATGGAGGGGTGGAAATGGAAAGATCCTATCCCCTTCTTTCTTGACTGCAGTCCTGTCCTTAGTCTTCTTAGTTTGTAATTAATTTGTAACTGAAAACAATGCAGGTGAGTTCTTGGGGCCCAGGATTTTGGTGGGTGGGATAGGTGAACCTTCTGTATTTAAGGAGCCTTAGCCTCCACAATCCTAAAATTTCCTCTTTCCCCTTCTCCCTTCCTCCCAGTTAATCCCACACCAAGGACCTGTAGCCAGATGGCCCAGCAGCCAGAAGACCACTCCCCTCCACCCTTAAGGAGGCTCTGAAACTCACATTATCATCCAGATTAAATTCCTTCTCGCTCACCACTGGGGAGCTGGGTTTGGACTTGGCAAAATCCTTGAAACTGCTGGAGCGCTGAAGTGACAGCTGGAAGAAGCAGAGGTGTTGCAATCAGTGGTGCTAAAATGGCTGGTCAAGTAAGGAGCTGTTCTCATCCCCAACACACATGCACACACCCCAGGGCTGGACAGAGCCACATGTGCCCTGAGGTGCCAGGACTAATGAGGTAAAATACAAAGATGTCCTTGGAGATACCTGGCTTCATCCTGTTTATCAGTAGAGAATGGCCCTTAATGCTAGCCTCAGAGCAAGCTCCTGACCTCAAAGACCCTAAGCTCAGTTAAGCCTCAGACTAAGCCCACCTTTCCACCAATACCTGAGGTTTGGCCCCAAGAACCCTGAAGTAAAAGAAAGACTAAATGAATTGAAGTAAGGACATATTTCCTACTAGAGACATACCTTGGCATGAACAATAGCATCACCTTTATGTAACAGAGCAAACCCTCCCAAACCCCACAGCACAGCCTCTATGTTCTGGGCCTGCTCTACGCATGGTCTCCTGTCACAGTGATAGCAGTAAACACATTAGTGTCCCCAACCTGGTGAATTTGTGTCTTGAGAAGATCAAAACACTCCCCCCAACAGTTAGTCAGACCTGGCATTAAGCTTTCTGGAAAACCACAGTAGAGGCAGTCAGAGAAGGTGCCCACAGATTTGAGGCACAAATGATTAGCAGTAATTTAGCAAAAGACAGCTGCCATTTTCTTTCTTCACCTCAGCTTTTAATCTTAGTCACTAATGTGATGAGATGGCTATTGTTGACATGTGCCGGTCTTTGGACTTTTTGGCCTGACCTATTGTTTGTGCTGATGAGACTATTTTCAGGAAATAAGCTTTCTTAACTGTATATGTGTGTGCATGCCAAGACAGCCACAAAAACCAGGCTGAGCAAGTAATGAGGCCAGGCTTTAAACACAAGGAGTGAAGGCAGAGCTTGAATCAAGATCAACAGTCAAGACCAGAGATACACACAGGAACCAGGGTTCACAGATGGCCAGACAGATACAGCGGGATATACTGCACACACCGGAGATAAGGGCTTGAGGAACCAAAGCTCCAAACCCGCACAGAGCTGAAAGTTTCACATCCTCTTTCCTATGAAGGAGTTGCGGGTGGGGGGGGGAGTCAAATGACAACCTTTCAGGGCAGGGACAATATCACCTGCCCCACAACACATACAAAATTGGCCCCAACTCCTGGGAACTACAGTGGAGCACTTACATTCTTCTGGTAGGTCTTGACCAAAGGCAAGTCAATAGTCAAGGTCAAGGGCCAGACCTTCCTAGAGGTTGCACCAAGCTAGCTGACCAGAAACTAGGTCAGCAGTCAGGCTAACTAGTCACTACAACCACGAGGGCCTCCTGGGTGGGGCACCTGCAGACTCTACCAGGAAGCCTCTTCCATGCTATGTTGGGGAGTCAGAGAAGAGGGCCATGACCTGGGAAGGGAACACATGACCATGGGGTGGCTGCTCTGATTCCCATGTATCCCTTCCACCCTCTGTTGGCTTTTCCTACCCACTATTCTTTCCTCTTTTTCTCCCTTTCTTTCCCTTTCTCTCCTCTGCTTTCTGTTGATTTCCTCCTCTTGTATGGCTAGGATGCAGCTGCCCTGATAACTTCCTTCTCTTATTGCCTGGAAAAGAAGGAACAGAGAGAGGGTGGGCAACAGGCTGGACTTCTATTTATAGGCCAATGGGGTCTATCGTGACCTTCTCTCCATCACTTCTCTGCCTGGTTTGCAGACTAGGAAGCTGAGTCGCCCCAGAAGCCCCAGGGACTGGCAAGTTTGGAAAGCAAACAGGAGGACCCACATGGGGCCGGAAGTGAGCTTTGTTGGGACAGAGTAAACTCATTGCCTGGTCTCCCTCTAATCGCAGTTCTTTCCTTTTCCTGTCATTAATCTACAGTCTGGGGAGTGGGAGGGGGACCTCTGGCTCCTAGGACCTTGTTTCTGGGCTCCCCTGTCCCAGCTTTAGCTCAAAGTAAAGTAAACTATTGAAAAGGACCATAGGGGTAGTGCTGGGACTTGGACCCAGCTGGCAAATTCTAAGCCTAAGGACATGGAAAGGGCTACACAGTTCTTCAGGTGACTAAGGGTAGGGGCTTGCCAGAGTAACTTTTTCCCCAGCCTATCTCCAACCTCAGAGGCATCCCCAATATCCTGAATGCCTTCTAGTATCTCTGAAGTGACATCCCACCCAGGTATGAGTTGAAATTCTCGAACCTTTGAATTTCCTGCTTGGCCTTCATTTGAGGTGAGGCCTTCTTCAGGATCCTTCCCAGGGTGGTGGTAGTACCAAATATCTTTTTTTTTTTTTTAATGTTTAAGAGGAATATGTGGACCTCCTGGAAAGAATTACTTTTCTGGTGTCAGATGTTGCTGAGTTCAACTTTGATATGTGTGATTTTCAGTGAGGTATTTAATCTTCCGGGACCTCAGTCTCTTCACTTGGTGTCAGCCTGCAAAGGTTCACATCTTGGTTCTGTCATTGACCATCTGTATGAAGCTGGGTGAGTTCCTTAACTTTTCTAGGCTTCTGTTTCCTCATAGATAAAATAAAGACAGCACCTACTTTACTGGGCTGCTCTGAGGATGAAAGGAGTGCTTGACACAACTACCACACAGCAAATGTCCAAATGTCTGTGTATAGCTTAGCTTTTTCTATGACCCACCTCCAGGCTCTTATTCAGGACATTCCCTGCCTGGAACACTCCACCTTTCACCCTATTAATGATAGTTTCTTCTCTCCTACAAAATCCAATTTGACTGGAAACAACCTACATCCTTACCAACTGTAGAATGGATACATGAATAGTGGCACAGTTATGCAAGGGGCTATGACATAGTGATGAGCTTAGGGCAGCTCTCTCCAACATATGGATGAATCTCACAGATACATTTTTGAGCAGAGGGGGCCATCCACCAGAGTATACTATATACTTCCTCATATAGAAAGTTCAAAACCTGGAAAAATTAATTTATGCTGTTAGAAGTCAGGATAGTGGTCACCCTTGGGGAAAGAAGGTGTGTCATGACTGGTAGGGGCATGAAGGAAGCTTCTAGAGTGTTGGAAGTGCTCTGTTTCTTGATCTGGGTGCTGCTTACATGGGGATGTCCATTATAGAAATTCACTGAGTGGTACACTTATGATTTGTGCACTTCTTTGTACAAATATTATACTTTAATAAGTAGGTTTTACAAATCCAGTTTTAAAGGCACTGTTCCCTGCAGGAAGCCTCCCATGATTACCCTCTCAAAACCTCACAGTGTCCCCATTGGTATCTTCTTCCCTTGCTTCCTAAGCAACATTGGCTTCCCCCAGGTATCTCCACAACTACACTCTTAGCTTATTCTTATACCAGTCATATAATTAGCACCCTCTGGTCTCCAGGTTAAATACCTCCCATGTGCCTGGCACCCTGTCAGGTGCTTCATGTGTGCCTGCTCACTCCAACCTCACCACAGCCCAATATTACATGCCACTTTCCAGATCAAGAGACTGAGACTCAGAGAAATGAAGTGCCCTAGGCAGAGATATGCAGCTGGCAGTATAAAGTGCAAGGGTTTGAACCCATGTCCATGACTAGAAGCCTGTTAATGTTGCTGCGCTCAGAGCTCACAAAGTCACCACTCCCATCACTACAGAAACTAATTGAGTGCAATGTGACTTCAGGTAGTGTTTGGAGGGAGTTACAGGGAGAGAAGGTGGGAGTATGTAGGAGGAAAGGCTCAGGAGGGCTTCATGGAAGAGGTGTATTTCAGTGGTGTTGTGCAGAGTAATGAGAATTTTGCCAGGAGTTGCTGGGAATAGTTTATTTTTATTAGTTTGTTTTGGGGAAAGGGAATAGTAAATGACAATGGGAGTTAAGAATGTTCTAGTGTGGCAATGGGATGGTAGGTATGCCAGGGTATGCGGTGGGAGAGCAAAAAGTCTATGGAAAACTCTTGCCAGCCATGCCAAGGAACTTGGGCATTAGCTTGTGGGCAATGAGGAGCCACTGGAAATACAAAATGCATGCTGGTAGAGGTGTCCTGCTAGAGATCTTCTGTAGGAAGGGAGCCAGGGAGATGGAGTGTGTTGGGATTGGGAGAGAGAAAGGCAGTAAGATACTGGAAGGAAGGAACACTTGGACACTAGAATGGGAGCCTAGATTCCTCTCCATTTTGCATTGTAGGAGATTTGGAGTAGGGGGGAAAGTATGGGTGCCATCCCAGGACAACCTCCTACACCCTAACAGATAAAAGGGAGTGCAGAGTAAGACTTTGATAAGCAAATATCTGTGAAGAGGTATGTCCCCACCCCCCACTCAGGGGCTACCCCAATCCTTCATCATGACCAATAGGTGCCATACGCAGACCCTACCATCCTAGAGGACCTACTCCCACCTCTGCTCTGCTGCTTGGAAGGTCCCTCAATTGAAGCCATCTGGGTCTGCCTTGCAGAGCTCTCTTAATGATGAGTTGAAGTCTTTCATTCTTATCAGATTCATCTAGTGCTTTTGGGGTTAGTAGGGGACAAGAGAGTAGAGGGAGAAGGAGTTAACATTCTGGAGATTGGCAAATTTTGGCTTGTATTTCTGTTCTTCAGTTTGCTAGTTGTGTGACCTTGGGTAAGTTTCCAAGTCTTGAGCTAAAATAGGGATAAAGTAAATATCTGCCCCTCACTCACCAGGTTGTCATGAGGAGCCAAAGAGCTAAGAGATGGGTGAAGCACACAGTACAGTACTTGGTACCTGACAAGCTCTCAGTGCTGGCTATTAATGCCATTATGTCTTGTTTTCTCCACTTCAGGACTGGAACCCAAGCTTTTTCTTCTTTGCCATGTACTCCCCACCCCCATCCATCTCTATGGCATGCACCCCCTTGTATGCATAGGTACACATTCGAAAGAGTATTCTCACGTTTATTGTCCCAGGTGATCCATTAACCTGAGGTGGACAGATCAGGAGCTATCTTACTTTTCAGAGATGAGGAAACTGAGGCCCAAAGAAAGTTAATGAACTGTCCAAGGTCCTATAGCTAGAAGTTGGTAGAATTCCAGCTCTGCTTTCCTGTCCCCTGCACAGTGCTTTCTCCATTTGGCAAGCCTGGGAAGAGGAGCAAGGGCAGGAGAGAGGGGCCTTGTTTGGCTTTGTGCTTTTCCCTTTACTGTGTCACTTTACCCTCCATGGGAAGGCACTGGCTCAAGGTCACAGTGCTGGACCTGGCTGCTACCTCCAGGCCCAGGGAAGATACTGTCTCCGCCTTCTGGAAGCATACTTTGGCTTTTCTAAGGGTACTCTCAAGGTTTGGGGCTTGGAGAGTAGCTCTGGAGGCTGGTCCAGTCTATGGCAGGGAGGAGTGGCTTTGCCTGGACCACCTTCCCCTAGAGGATCACATGGGACTTGCTTTTCTTGGGAGAGATCTGGGGAAAATTCCAGAGCCCCAGTGGCCAAGCACAGAAATGGGATAATGAAAGGGAAGAAAGAAGATGGGGGACTACTGGCTTCTGTGTGCTCCTGACACCTCTACCTGAGGTGGCGCAGGGCCCTAGTGTAAATGTGTCAGCTCTTTCTCAGGCTCTTTCCTCCGGTTCAACTTGCCTGTGGTTTGGGGCCCATCAGTGTTTAGAAGAGTCTCAGCTCCCCATACACATTAGGCAGAGGGCAAGGGGAAGCAGACTGCTTGCCAAGGAGAGACAACCAATGGCAAGTCTGCTGCTGCGCAGGGTTTTGACAGGCAGGTAACAGAGCCTGTGTAAAACTAACAAATCTCTTCTTCACCCCTGCCTACCTCCGCTGCAAGCTTAGAGAAGCAGCTGGGGTGAGGAGAGTATAGCCGGAAGTGGCAGCCACCCCAGGACCTGAGATGGAACAGGATGCTCACACCAGTAACTTGAAGCTCAGCCTCTCAGCTGGCTCAGCTTTGGTCTAGGAGCTGCTCCCCTTATTAGGGGGCTTCCAACAGGGCACTTGGGCCAAGCTCCAGGAGAAACTGATGGGGGCACAGCAAGGGTCTGGAGGCCTGGACCTTGGTCTGGGGCTAGGCCTGTGTCTCTTGGACCTGGTTCAGACCTGCTTTGGGATTATCCTAGGATTCCATTGGATGTGAAAGATGTACTTGCTGATTGCCTGGGGGAATCCTATAATCAAGTCACAGAATTAAGTCTAGAAATCCTCAAATACAACTGGAGGAACTTACATCTGGCAGAGCCTTCAAGGGATATTCCAACCTGGCCTTTGCTCCAGGAATATGAATACCTCAGCTGTCCATGACCGCTGCTTTTCTTCCTGGCCTTTAAAATGTCCCCACCATATTTTTCTTCCTCAGCCCTCACTTCTACTCCCCATCTCACCAGCTTCATTTTTCATTCTTCACAAATAATTTTCCCCACATTGGAAGAACTTGTATGCTCCCTGCACCCCACTGCAGGTTTGGAGGCCCTCTGCCTTATTTTCAGGTTGGCCCCAACACCAGTGGGCCAAAAGAGCTACAACAGAACTGAATCAAGTGAACAGAATCCTAGCTACAGCCAAAGGGTGGGGTTCTAGGAGGATCATGGCTCCAAGTGGGGTGGCCCAGCCAAACCCTTTGAGTGAGATAGCTATTGAGAGGCCATGCTCAGGCAGAAACAGCGGCAGGACCAGTGTAAGGGAGAAACGATTAAGTACGGTCTAATGATTCAGCTTGAGGATTGCATTTTGTGGTTCTCAAGTTCTAGTCTAGGATTCTAGCCCTTAATTTTAGGTCTCTATACCGTCACTGTAGAGTTGACTTCTATAACTCTAGACTTCTAAGTCTATTCTGTAACTCCATTTCTCTAGAATTTTGAAAGTCTCTTTTGTACTTTTGTTACTCTAGTAACATTTGGGTCCCTGTCCCATTGCTGTTGGGAGCTCGTGCCTACAGACTCAACGTGTCGCCTTTGGCTCATCACTTTTATGAGCTCAGGGGCTGGATTATGCAAGCAGAGGGAAGGAAAAAGTGAGTTCCCAGAGATGCTCCTCACCTTTTTCTTCTGAGTGGGCTCCTTCTCACTGGCATTGGAGGGCTTGCGGCGCAACATGGTCCTCTGTCCGATGACACTCCTTCCCTACTCTTCTAGGTGTCGAGATGTGGAGACCTCTTGCTCAGCCTTGCCAGCACTGTCCAAGCGGTACAGCATGGACTAAAACTCTGGCTTCCACAGTGGCTGCTGCAGTGGCAGCTTGGGGGTGAGGGCCATGGACACAGGCGGCAGCAGCATACAGGAAGCCCTGCCACGTGACCTGCTCTTACAGCAATCGCAGCCCCTGCTGGCCCCTAGGGAGGAAGGAAGTCCTAGCTTCAGTCTCTAGAGGTTCTGATGCAGACGGCTCTTGGGTTGAACAAGCAGAGAAAAGTCCCTACCTTGCCATCTCATGGCAATCATCACCAGTCTTTCTGCTCCATCTCTCCAGAGGCGGCCAATCAATTTAACATTATATGATGTACTTGGGCCTCTTATCTCTTTGATGAGAATCCAGAAACCAGAATTTGGATCATGTCTTTGCTTGTGGGGCCAATGCTCCTGGTCACCTTGCATCACCAAGATCATCACTGGCATCACTACCACTATCATCACCCCTACAACCATCACTCCTTATTTATAGCCATCACCCCTATATTCATCAACCCTCTAGTTGTCCTACTGCCATGAGCATACTTATGACCATCATCACTACAACAACCACCCCTACAGTCAACACCCTCAGCCATCATCCCTACAGTCATCATTATTGTCACTTTCACCCTCACAGTCCTCATCCTCACAACTGTCATCCTTACTGACATTACAATCAGTGTTCCTGTAACATTCTTACCCCTACAACCATCATGCCTACAGCCATTATCCCTAAAGCAATCATCCCTGCTGTCATCCCTACAACTGCCATCAGTACTGCTATAGCCATTATTGTTAGTACAACTACCCTGAGCAACATCCCTCAGCCAGCTTCCTCTATCTGCCTCACTATTGCCATTATGACCAGCACAGCCATCATCCTCACAGCCATTAACCTTACAAACACTATTACTACAACCAGTCATCCCCACACTGATATTCTCACCCTTAAAATCATTACTTCTACAGTCATCAACCCTACAGCCATCACTTCTCAGTAATCACCCTACAGCAGGGGTATCAAACTCATTCTCACTGGGAGCCACATCAGCCTCACGGTTGCCTTCAAAGGGCCGAAATAATTTTAGGACTGTATAAATGTAACTACTCCTTAACTGTTAAGGAATTGAAATTACATTCAGCCCTTTGAACGCAACCTCAAGGCTGATGTGGCCCCCGGTGAAAATGAGTTTTACACCCCTGTCCTACAGCTATCATCTCCATTGCCACCAGCACACCTACAGTCATGCTCACTAGAGCTGTCATACCTTAGAGTCAAAACCTCTTGGCCTGTATATTTACCTGTATATTTATCACCACCATAGCCATCACCATACATGAAAAGCATTTGCAGGCAACTCCATACCACCAGCAAATATCCTGTTCAACAAGCATTTTTTAAATGCTTATGTGCTAAGTTTAGAATGTTCACTTTGTGGATTGTCTGTGGCAGACATTTTAATAATTCCAATAACTTTTCTTATTAAAAAGTAATCCATATTAATCACACACAATGTAGCAAACACAGATACACACAAAAAAAGAAAATTCAAAAATTCTCCATAATTATCTTCCATACTGTTTGGATGGATATCTTTCACTGTTTTTGTGCATTAACTATATGTGTGTGTGTGTGTGTGTGTGTGTTTTCAAAAACCATACTATTCAGAAAGTAGATCAGAGGTTGGGGGATAGGGAAAGGATAGAGAGATCAGGAGGAGTACAAGGACCCTTTTGGGGATGATGAATATGTTCACTATCTTGGTTATGGTGATGGTTTCATGAGTGTATACATGTCAAAACTCAAATTGTACACTTTAAAATAATGTGCCATTTATTTTAGGTGAATTATGTGTAAATAAAAGTATTTTAATGCATTTTTTTGTTTTTATTATTTATTCCAATGACATTTGTTAACATCACCTCAATATTAACCTATATTAATATGAATAATTTTAAATATTAAAAATGTCACACTTCGCAAACTGTGTTGGTATCTGCTTGTCACACTGAACATAGTATCATTCAGATTTTCTCATGCTATGAAATATTCTTCAATTACGTGATTTTAATGGCTGCCGAGCAGCCAGATTGTATGACTGTACCATGATTATTTCACCAGGTCCGTACTGATGAACTTAGGTCGGCCTAATTTTTTTTGTTTACTCTTCACTGCACATCCTTAAGGTAAATATTCACATCCACGATTTTTCCCCTCAGGATAAATTTCCAGAAGGGGAATCGTGGAGCAGAAGGTACACATCTTTTTAAAGCTCTCCACTGTGGCACTTGAGAAATCCTGAGCTGGCCCTTCCTTGTTCCCAAGATGTCCTCGTGACTTCCTCTCTCCTACTCGCTAGCCTGCTCCTCGTCCTCCGACCATCCATGGGTTAGGGTGAACTCAGGAAAGACTAAGTCCTTCTCCCCCAAGCTGAAACCATACTTCATTGGTTCAGCCTGCCGGGCAGACACATGAAAACATATGCACCCCAGCTTGCTTCCTTGCAGGCCTGCACTTTTCAGCATGAAAGCCCCTCGCAGGCCACCCTGGGCGGAGCGTTTAAAGTGTGCAGCGTAAGAAGGAGCCCAGTAACCGTGTGGAGAACCCACTGGGCCTTTCATGCCAGCCATTGAGATCATGGTGGGTAGCGCAGCCCCGCGGGGTGCTGGGTGAGGAGCACGGCTGCAGCGTCTGCAGAGCCTCGGAGGCACCTGGGGCTGGGCGGCCCGTAGCGGCCAGGGAGGGAGCCGCTCACAGAACCTTCCCTGTCCCCGGCCCGCGAGCAGGATGTGCCCCGCTTCCTGTTTGCTCAGCCCAGGCAGCGAGCTGAGCTCACACTCTAACCGCAGAGTCTTCAAAGGCAGCCACCTAACCAGGCAGCCTGGGAAGAGGCAGCCGGGGGCGGGTGTGTTGAGGGGACCTCGCAGAGAAGCACAGAAAGTAGTAGTACAGGCGTCACGAAGGAAAGGAGTGAGGGTTTTCAGCCCCGCCCCCTGTCAGTCGCCTTCTCAGATAAGATCTGCTTCCTCTGGTCAGCAGACCCCGTTCTAGGAGTGCAGAGCTCCGGTATATGGACTTGCCTCCCCCTAACTTTTTTCTCCCAGCAGACTGCCTTGGCCTGGTCGAGCCCCAGCTGGTTAATGGGTCCTAAACACTTTTTAAATAGGTTTCCCTTCTGGGCAACACATTTGCATTTTATAGGTTATGTTCCAGGTACACAGAGCCCTCAGCTGAAGAAGTGATGCGAGTCAGCATTTCACTGAATAAGGCTACCTCAAACTTGGTAATGGCCTTGCAGGCAGGACCTAGGATCTAGCTCTGGGCAGATCCTCTACTAGGCACTTTTATATAAATAGCTGTCATAGTTCCTTGCACCTGGGCGCTGAATCCTAGGTGGAACAGCAAGCTTACATTTGCCCAGCACTTGTTTTTGCCAAACACCATATTAATCTCAACACAACCCCCAGAGCTAAGTAGTTGTCCCTCAGTATCCAAGGGGAGAATGGTTCCAGGACCCTTCACAGACAACAAAATCCAAGGATGTTCAAGTCCCTTGCTCAGCTCTCCATATCCATAGGTTCACCACCTATGGTTACAGAGGGCTGGCTACAGTTTAAATTGGGATTATTATTGCAAAGATGTGCCCCTTATAAATGTGGGACAGGAGAGCCTTGATTTAGCAGCACTACTGTGGTGTGTGTGTGTGTGTGTGTGTGTGTGTGTGTTGGAAGGTGGTCTACTAATAGTGAAATCTATCTGAACCCTCAAAGGGTAGACACAGAGTTGCTGAAGACACAAAGGTCTTCATAGGCTATATTCACGTAGAGCAGGCCCCCATTTGCACCTCCTGAGAGATCCTAATTTAGTAGAAGATCAAGGGTAAGATATTTGGGCCAGGTGGGACCCTGCCATGTGTGAAAGCATCCTTTACCCTCCAAATGGGTACAGTGCTGACTCGAGAAAGTAAGAGTTTGGATAGTGAGGGGTACCTATATTTGGAATAACTTTCCAAGTGATTCTTGTTCTCACCTCTCCCTGCTACACACACAGTGGACTTTACTATAACCCTATGAGGCAGGCACCATTGTTATCCCCGTTTTCCAGGCAGGAAGCTGAGGCTCAGAGGGGTTCAGCAAACTGTGTAAGACACAGCTAGGCAGCAGGGCAAGCTGAGTTTTAAATACAGGTCTGCTCTTGGTCCACAGCGCATGCTATCAACCACTAAGCTCAGGTGCCTCTGATGCAGAGTACCAGAAAGAGGAGGTAAGAGAATTGACACCCTACATTGGTCAGGTGTCAGACTAGGTGCCACAGGGCCACCTTGAAGCAGGCCCAGAGGGCAGTAAAGAGGATGGGGTGGACATCTGAGAGTCACATCATATGCACAATAGCTGGATAGCTAGGGTTGATTAAGTGGGGTGGCCTGTAGGGGAGCTTTTGTCAACCTGGGGAGTACTTACGACCTGTAGTACTTGGCCTAGAGGATTCTGTGGGAAAGCAAGTTGACTTCAAACAGCTGTCATGTAAGGCAGGGGTCCCCAAACAATGGGCCATGGACCAGTACTGGTCTGGGCCTGTTAGGAACCAGGCTGCACAACAGGAGGTGAGCTTGAATGTAATGCACTTGAATCATCCTGAAACCATGCCCACCCCCCACCTCCAGTCCATGTAAATAAAAACTGTCTGCCATGAAACTAGTCCCTGATGCCAAAAAGGTTGGGGACTGCTGATGTAGGGGATGTATTCTGAGTGGCCAGGAATGATGGGGAACAGGCCAATGGAAGGCTTGTGTTCTTTCTGAAGAAGGTATTTTCAATATTCAAATGGTACTACCTGAGTCCTGGTGAATAGTGATCTTCCCATCTCTAGAAATGCTCAAGCAGAGACCATATAGTCCCTTGAAAATACCTGGGCATTTCCAAGGTGAAGTCCAGTTGTTAGCCCAACCCATTAGCAGATTTCATGATGGTAATCTTAGGCAGATGGGGCAAGAAGAGCAAAAGTGCACGTGGGAGAAGGAGGGCAGAAGTGAGCAAGGGACCTGGGTGAGAAGCATCCATTCCTTATGCACACACACAGCTTGCAGCTCTGGGGACACTGGGGAATCCCTGGTAGCAG